GATCTAACAGGGATGGTTTCCCCTGGAGGTCATATGCTTTTACAGCTGCTTTCTCTAGTTCAGAGATGAGCACCCTGAGGCCACAGGAACACACACACACACACACACACACACACAGAGGGAGAGAAAACATATTTTTTTGCAGCTTCCAGTACACCCATTTTGAAGCTTCCCAAACACAATGTTGCTTTGCAGCAACCTTGTGGGCAGCAAACAAATTTAATAAATAAATTGAATTTTGAAATTGAAATGTATTGATTTATTTATTTGGTCAATGACCAGCAACATAAAATAATATAGGATAACAAGAGTTGGAAGGGACCTTGGAGGTCATCTAGTCCAACCTGCTGCTCAGGCAGGAAACCCTATAGCATTTCAGACAAATGAGTGTCCAATCTCTTCTTAAAAACTTCCAGTGTTGGAGCATTCACAACTTCTGGGCTCAATTAAAAGAGAGATAAACCATCAACAAAGAGAAGAAGGTGCAGTTATAAATTGGCCATTGTAAAATAAATTGAATACGGTATACTTTGAACTCCTTGTTACAATGGTGCCGTTTATTTATCGCACACTGATGAAACTAAGATAATAATAATAATAATAATAATAATAATAATAATAATAATAATACTGTAATACCATCAAACATCCACATCTGCCTATCCCAGGTCCTGGGTAAGGACTCGATAGGTAGACAAAATGCCAAATCCAGTCTAAACATCTGGCTGACTGTGCGATGATCCATAATAATGATGATGATGATGTTAGAAGGGACCTTGGAGGTCATCTAGTCCAACCCTCTGCTCAGGCAGAAAACCCTATACCATTTCGGACAAATGACTGTCCAGTCTCTTCTTAAAAACTTCCAGCGTTAGAGTATTCACCGCTTCTGGAAGCAGATTGTTCCACTGGTTAATTGTTCACACTGTCAGGAAGTTTCTCCTTAGTTCTAGGTTGCTTCTCTCCTTGACTAGTTTCCATCTGTTGCTTCTTCTCCTGCCTTCAGGTGTTTTGGAGAATAGCTTGACTCCCTCTTCTTTGAGGCAACCCCTGAGATATTGGAAGACTGCTATCATGTCCCCCCTCATCCTTCTCTTCATTAGACTGGACATACCCAATTCCAGCAATTGTTCCTTATATGCTTTAGTCTCCAGTCCCCTAATCATCTTTGTTGCTCTTCTCTGTACTTTTTCTAGAGTCTCAACATCTTTTCTACACCGTGGTGACCAAAACTGGACGCAGTATTCCAGGTGTGGCCTTACCAAGGCCTTGTAAAGTGGTATTAACATGATTTTGATTCTATCCCTCTGTTAATGCAGCCTAGCACTGTGTTGGGCTTTTTGGCTGCTTTGGCACACTGCTGGCTCATATTTAGGTGATTAATAAGACTGTACATTAAAATAGCTGTCCTCTAAAACATAAAAGATAACTAAGCAATATATTGATAAAAATAAGGATCTTTAGTTCTTTAACCATTTCCCCCTCTTATTATCATTACAGCAGCACAAAATTTGGCTACTGCACGAGGGATGGCTGGATTAGACTCCTGAAGAGGATGGTTCACATAGAAATGATCTGATCTCCCTGGATAATAAATAAATAAAATAAATAAATAAACAAACACCCAAGACTAGGCTTCAGGGCATTGAAGAGAGAAGAAGCACGAAGGGCCAGAATGCAACCAAACAAATACAGGTAGTCCTCCGTTCACTTAGTGACCGAAGTTACAACTGAACTGAAAAAATTGACTTACAAGTGTTTTTCACATTTATGACCATCGCAGCATCCCTAGGGTCACGTGATTTACATTTGGATGCTTAACGACTGACTCACATTGATGATGGTCGCAGCGTACCGGGATCATGTGATCCCCTTTTGTGATTCTTCTGACACGCAAACCAGATCCACTTATTTATGGTTACTAATTTAACCCCTGCAGTGATTCGCGCAGCAAATCTGGCAAGAAAAGTGGTCAGATGGGACAAAGCTCGCTTAACAAGGGTCTCACTTAGCGACACGGATCTGGGGCTCAGTTGTGGCCGTAAAGTGAGGACGGCCTGTATCCCGGAGCCCTCTTTCTACGTGGCATCTGCAATTGCTCCAAGTCATTTTCCATCCATTGTAGCCAAATCAGTGACTCTGACATTTCAGCGTTTTGGTCCTGGGCAGATCCGGTGATGAGTGTGGAAAAAATAAAAAATAAAAATCCAAGCAGGAATTCTGGAAGATGCCCTCCACCAGGCCTTCTCAATGGCCGTGGGCCAGATTTGACTTGGTAGGTGGCAGGTTCCCAGGTGACTGAAATTTCTTCTGTACAAGTTCTTTGTCTTAAAACAGTGGTTCTCAACCTTTTTAATGCCGCGACCCCCAACCGGTCGTAAGTCGAGGACTACTCAACTGGTGCAGCACCGTTTGCAGAATGGGACTTTTGGCGGGCTCAGCAGGGCAGAGACAACCTGGACAATTCCTATTAGCTTTTGAAAGCCAATAGAATTAGACTCTATTCAAGAGAGTCTATTCTATTGGCTTTCAAAAGCCAATAGAATAAAAGAGAGTAGCACAGCTAAGGAAAAGGGGAAAAAAATGGCGGACTGCGTTGTTTGGCGACCCCTGTGAAATAGTCCTTTGACCCCAAATGGGGTCCCGACCCACAGGTGGAGAACCACTGTCTTAAAAGCTCTGAAATTTACTGTCTGTTGTCATGTCACTACTGGCATCTTCTGACAAGGAAGGCCTTTTGCAAAAGATGCAGCAGCAGCAGCAGAGGAGGGCTTATGATGTCATACACCCCATTTTGACATCCTTGATCGCTTCAATAAGTATTCTTGTTCCGATGCTCCTTTTCTGGGACCGGCCAGGAAATCTCACGTCCTCCTTTCCTAACCACAAAAGAAAACAAAAGTGAAAGCGAGTCTGGATTAGGAAAGAATTGAAAAAGACCTCGTGCCATGAATAATAAGAGCCAAAACTGGGCTGCCTTAGTTTGGATGACTAGCTGTCGAAATATTTTATAAGTTTAGTAGTTCTAATCGCCTAAAAGAAATCCTAAGGCTAAACGATTCACTACCACACCCGTTCTTTCTGAGATCTCGATCCCTTGCTCCACATTTAACCGAGACTCGCTACTGACTTGAACCAGGAGGACAAATAGTGACAGGTATTATAACGACTCATAAACACTGTACAAACATCCGCTTAAATCTATTCTGCCAGCTTTGGAGCGTCTCTAGGCTGTGCCAGGGATTCCCAAGGTGTCTGAAGAAGACCAGATCTGTCTGTCTGTCTCTCTCTCTCTGTCTATCTGGCTTTGTGTGTATCTCTGTGCACAGGCACTCGTATGCAACCGCCCACCAGCTGAGCTCAACTTCTGCATCCAAGCCTCTTCCTGACTCTTGGCTTTTTCCGGGATTTCTGAAGATTTCCCACCTGGAACCCGGTCGCCATCCGTTGGGGCTCTCCCGTCAGGCTCCGCTTAGCTCCGGATTTCAGGAAGGCGGACGCCCCACTCGGCGGAGCCAGAGGCGTGGAAACTGCCTCCCGCCTGCCCCTTCCCGTCGCGGGGAGTTCCCGGGGCAGGGGGAAGGCAGGCACGGGCGGGAGGGTGTGTGTGTGTAGGGGGGTCAAATGGCCGGACTCCCCCCCCCCGAAGCTGCCAAGGAGGGCACCCAGGGACCTTTCCCCTCGGGCTGCAGCGGCGCCCGGGGCGCGCTTCTTTCCCGTCCGTCCCCCCCCCCCTCCGCCTCTTTGCAGGGCGGCCTGGCAGCCGGGCGGAGCAGAGGCGCGTTTGAAGTTCGCTCCGCCGCCGCCGGTCGCGCCGGATTGGGCCGGGCAGCGCGTTTGCATTGACGCCACTAAAGGCTGGAGGTCAGCCCTTGCGGGGACTTTTATTGGCTGCGCCACCGCCCGCGCCGCTCCTGCACCCGCCGGGGCTGTCAAACTCCGGGGCTCGCTCGCCACGTTGGGGCCGCCAGCTGCACAGCTCGGCGGGGCTCTCCTTGGGGCGGCGGCGGCGGGAGCCGGAGCAGAAGCCGGAGCAAGCAGCAACAGCAACAGCAGCAGCAGCAGCCTCCCCCCTTCTCCCCCTTGCAAAGCCGGAGAGCCCGGGCTGAGCCGAGCCTCCCCGGAGCGCGCGAGAAGCCGCCGTGCGCCCTGGCTCCGGCGCCTGGAAAGCCGCGCCTCGCCTCGCCTCGTCCCTGCTGGATTCTCCTTCTCCTCTTTTTTTTTTTTTTTGCTTCCAGCAGCCCCCCTCCTCCTCTCGCCATTTGAATTCGTTCCACGCAGATCGGACGCTCCCCTTCCCCTCCCCTCCCCTCCCCTCCTTCCGGGGCTTGGAATTGCCAGCGCTTCGGTGCCAAACACTTTTTTTGGGGAGGGTTTGACCAAGCGCGCAAAGCGATGGCGCTGGGGGAAGAGGAGGCTGCGGCGGCGGTGGTGGCGGTGGGGGGGATCGCCCCCGGCGACCAGACCCCCTTCTCTTCGTCTGGATCCTTTTAAAGTTTAGCATCCCCCCCCTTTTTTTTTGCTCCACCCCCCCTGGCCCTCCTCTCTTGCACGGCTCCCCCTTTTTGCCCCCTGTCTTATCTCCCCCTCCTCTCTCTCTTTTTTTGGGGGGGTGTGTGTGTGGGAGGGGGGGTTGCAACTGGGTGGCCCATCTGCTGGAAGGCCCTTGTCGCGTGGAATCTCCGGGACCGGCGGAAGGGGAGAGAACGTGTGAATGCGCTTTTCCCCCCCGGCTCCCGGGGAGTGCAAGCGACGAGGTGGTGTGTGTGTGTGTGTTGCGAGGGTCTGGCCGCGGAGATGACTCGGACGGTGGCTTGATGAAGGCGGGAGCGTAACCCCGGAGGGGGGGCCCGCCACCCCCTCCCAGCCCGGCTAGGGAGCCACGTTTAGGAGCTTGGAAAGAGGGGGAGGGGGCTGCCTATGTGCGCAGAGGGGGCGAGTGAAGGCTGGAGGGGGCGAGGTGTTGGGCTGGGGGTGGGAGTCGAAAGGCACCCCCGTCCTTCCTTTTAATTGCAAGGTCTCGATTGTTTCCCCCCCCCCTTTTGCCCCTTCCCCAAACCGGAGTAGCTCTATTTGTTAAGAGAGAGGGGGGGGATTCTGGGGAAGCGCCGCCCAGTGATGCATCTCCTCCCCTCCTCTTAATCCCCCAAAACTGGGGGGGGGGACAATTTTCCATCTCCCCTTTTGCGTGAAGGCGAGGGGGGGGGGAGAGAAAGAAAGAATGACATGATTTAACTGCACAGCCGGAATTTCAAGCCCCTTTCATCTACCTCGCCGCGCCCACTGCGCTTTCCGACCGAGAACCGAATTCTCTCCGGTTTCGGAGGAAACGGAATGATGTTTCTCCGGATTTGGGGGGCTGTACCTGAGAAACAGCTGTGGATTGGGACCTTGGGTTACCCAGCAGAAACTGCCTATTGAAAAAGGACGTCGTTCCCAAACGAGGATTTTTAAAAAAAAAAAAAAAAAAGAGAGAGAGAGGGAGAAAGAAGTAACCTTGAGATCTAGCGGCTTTAAAAAAAAAAAAAAACGCAAAGAAAAACAGCTATGGGTTGTGCTCCCAGCATTCATATATCTGACAGCCGGGTGGTTTATCACAGTAACAAAGATCCGGAGGACTCCAATTCGTCTCAGCAAGGCAATCCAGTCCCTGGATTATTCATTAAATCTTCCAACACCACCTCGTACAAGTTGAGAACTAATCTAACTAAGAAAGATTCTCGGGACAACATGGAAGCAGAATCAAGGACCAAGCGATCCAGCGTGAAGGTAATTGGGAAAAACAAAACAAAACAAAAGCTTTGTCCTTTGGGAATCTGGGACCGGATTGTTGGGGGTGGTGGTGGTGGTGGGGAGAACTTTGTGGAATCAACCGAGACTTAAATATTGACACACCAAACAGGTCACTGGCCGAGTCCATTAGACTCTCTTAGTAGGTGCTGGAGGTTTTAAGCTGGTGGGCAGCTGGTTTCATAAGCATTACTGTCCTTTTTTCCTTAAAAAAAAAAAGAGAGAGAGAGATTTTGTAGGGATTTTGTAGATTTCCCTTTCTGCTGCGGGTTTTGTTTCAGACGGAAAAAGAGAAGAGAATTCGGATTTATTCGGAATACAAATTATTCTTCATGCTCTCTCTAACCCCCCTCCCCAGCTGCCAATATTGCAAAATCAGTGCAAAATCAGCGTGGAAGCCAGCAAGGGATCTATATGGTTTCCCTTTCTAGCTCCTTGTCTGCATAAGTGAATGTTTGTTTTGAAGCAGAAACAAAATAGAAACAACTATACTGTTGCCTTTTCTTTTTAATGTACACATACCAGATTGCAGTTTTTATGCAGCTCTGCAAAAGATTTATGAGTTATTCCCCTGGGCTGATTTTAAGAAGCAAAATATTGCAGGAGCATAAATCACGAGAAATTAAAACGATTTAAAAGTGATTTTTTATTTTTTTTTAGAATGGAGGAAATTGGCCTTTGGACTATGGAGTTCTGATCAAAGAAGCTAGCAGATATGCCTACGGTGTCTGTAAAATGTTTCAGGACTAGGATGCGATATAATTTGCACGCAATTGCACAGGAGCCATAATAATAATAATAATAAAAAATTCCAGAAAGATTGGATTTAAAATTTAGGTGCCCTGGTGTATTTGGATAAACTTTCATTCATTTTATTTTGCTTCATTTCCATCTCACGTTGCATCAAGTGGGTTGCATGTATAGTTTTCCTGCTCTTCCCCCCCATCCCCGCGTTTTTATTTTACAACACTCCTATGAGGTAGGACTGGCTGAGATAAAAAGTGGCTTACAATCTTCCAGTGGTACGTTAGGCCAAGGCAGTGTTTTGTGTGTGGTGCTAAAACTGTCCCAAACGTGCAGAGGAAAAGATAGCATGAATTCCAAATCTTTTTTTCACTTGCCCATTTATAGATACAGGCAGTCCTCAATTTAGGACCACAACCGGGCCCCAGATTTTTGACACTGAACAAGACATTTGTTTAAGTGAATGTTGCCCCGTTTTACACCCTTTCTTCCCACAGTTGTTAAGTGAATCTCTGCAGTTGTTTAGTAACACGGTTGTTAAGTGAATCTGGCTTTCAGAAGTTGCAAAAGAGGATCCCATGATCCCATGACCCTGGGGAGGCTGCAGCGGCGGTGTGAAAAAAAACGGTCACCAGTCACTTTTTTCCCAGTGCTGATGGCTGATGTAATTTTGAACGGTTCCTAAATGAATTGTTGTAAATTGAGGACTACCTGTAACATATCAATGCGAGGCCTGACTCAGAACTGCATTACTATTCTGAGCATAGACTGATCTTTATATTGTGCAGTTAGATAAGCGAGCCCACTTTGCATCTGTTTGGTTTCACTGAGGTTGTGGGTATCAAAAATGGAGGACTTGGGGTTAGAATGAACTGTATGCAAAATAAATAAATAAATGGATTTTATTTCCCGTTTCTCTTGCAATCCTTCCTTCCTGGAATGATCATCTTTCTGTCTTCCATGTCATATCGTCATGTTTTTGGAAGAACTGCTTCAGTCTGTGATCTGACTGTCGTCTTCGTAGTACTTGGCCATTAATAGCTACCCACAAACATCGGTCTTTGAGTTTTGATCGCTTTTAAGCATCGCTTTCCAAGTAGGGCGAAGAAGTTCCTTAACTGGCTCTTCCTTTCTTCCAAAGGAATTTAAAACCAGCAAAGCCTTTTAAAAGATTGAGCTTTTTATTGGTTTAAAAAACACTTTTGTTTTTTTTCTTTTTTTTTAAAAAAAAACTAATTGTGAAGTCCATGCTGCTAGTTGGCTAGCTTCAGTCAAGACAATCAAGGCCTTTTATTTTACGTTTTTGTTGTTGTGAGTCAGCGTCATCTCGTTTCTAGATGTAGGTAATCCATAGATGCTTCTATAAAAATAAATAAAGCCTGACAAAATATTCATTGAACTTCAAAATCTTTCAAGTGCCTCTGAAGTTCGGTTCATAATAATCATAATAATCATAATAATAATAATAAAGTTGGAAGGGACTTTGGAGATCATCTAGTCCAACACCCTGCACAGGAAACCTTATACCATTTCAGACAGATGGCTGTCTATTCTCTTCTTAAAAACTTCCAGTGTTGGAGCATTCACAACTTCTGGGCTCAATAAAAAGAGAGATAAACCATCAACAAAGAGAAGAAGGCGCAGTTATAAATTGGCCATTGTAAAATAAATTGAATATGGTATATTTTGAACACCTTGTTACAATGGTGCCGTGTTTATTTATCGCACACTAATGAAACTAAGATAATAATAATAATAATAATAATAATAATAATAATAATAATAATAATGTTAGAAGGGACCTTGGAGGTTATCTAGTCCAACCCTCTGCTCAGGCAGAAAACCCTATACCATTTCGGACAAATTACTGTCCAGTCTCTTCTTAAAATCTTCCAGCGTTAGAGTATTCACCGCTTCTGGAAGCAGATTGTTCCACTGGTTAATTGTCCTCGCTGTCAGGAAGTTTCTCCTTAGTTCCAGGTTGCTTCTCTCCTTGATTAGTTTCCATCCGTTGCTTCTTGTCCTGCTTCTTGTCTGAAGCCCTGTAGAGAAACTCCTGGCAGCTTCCTAATAGGTGGATCTCCATTCCCAGAATTCCCCAGTCAATGTGGTCATTGCTGAGAATTCTGGGAGTTGAAGCCCACCTATCTGGAAGGGGCTAAAGTTAGAAAAAAACAGGCATTGTCCGTTCCAAGGCTGAAAACTCAGCCATCGGACACTGTATGAGGCAACATCCTGTGCACCTAATGAATTTGCTACCCAATTAATTTTCTTGAGGTCATCACCATCTTTTCCTGCAAGATTCTTCTGCCTTTCACAAGGTGGAAGTTCTTAGAAGAGAGATATACCCTAAATGGATTGAGTAATGACAATACTCATCTTACGTTTCCGGGTTTTTCTGCTCATTTACACAGTGTCTGATGATTGCGGAGGGTTCAGATGGGAAGAAATTGGTCACAAGACTTTTGAGAAGAGCGGGCACAGTTTGGAGAATGATGAATAGCCTTCAGCACATGTGCAATCTTCCAAAAAGAGACAATTGCCCTTTCTCTTTCAAAAACACAAACTGCACATTCCCATTTTCTTTTGTATATCCACTTTTCAATGTCAGGATTTCTGCAGCTCCTTTTCCTTCGAACTATCTTTTGAGATTTCTTGGCAAGCCTGTCTCCTTTTCAACCCCGGGCAAAATTGTGTGCTATATACTTCTTACATTAGTTTTAACCATTTCCTGCTATTTTAGCAAATTCTGGTATTAATATCGCTGGGAGGGGGGGGGGGGGAAACCATACAGGTTGTCCTCAATTTATGACCACAATTGAGCCTAAGATTGCCAGTGCTAAGGGTGACAGTTGAGTCATTTTACGACCTTTTTGCCGAGGTTGTTAAGCGAATCACAACCATCATTAAGTGAATCATGGCTTACCCCATTGACTTTGCTTGTCTGAAACGCTCTAGGAAAGTTGGAAATGATATTCCCAGGACCCCGAAAAGTTGCAATCATTGTAAACACATGCCGGTCACTGAGCAGCTGACCTTTGATCATGTGGAAATATTGCAGTGGTTCTAAATATGAGAACTGGTCATAAGCTACTGTTTTTCAGTGCTGTTGTATCTTTAAACAGCCATTAGACGAATGGGTTGTAAGTCAAGGACTGGACGTTTATAAATTACACATTGGCAATAACAACGCTGGATAGGTGCGCTTGCCCGCCTATTTCCTCTTTGTGGAAAAGTATAAATTAAACTAAAATTCTATTTAGGGGAAAAAGTTTGGCTCCTGGCCGAGTGATCAGATGTGAGCAAAGTCCTGTTGGATTTTTTATTTTTATTTTGAAAAAGAGGAGAACTTTGATCTAGTACAGTTTTGAGAAAGCCCAGGACATTAGCCAAGTCCTGTGCACATTTACACATGCAATTTCCTACCAAGTGCGTTTGAATTTGGGTGTAGGAATCTACACCCAATGATTGTCCACTTGGAATGGAAGCCCACCATGATATGGTATTATAAGGTAACAAATGGATGAAAAGGACTTTAGCCATAAAAATAGGAGGCATACAGAAAGATTGTGAGTCAGCTTTCCTCTCCTCTTTTGGGTATCTATTAATTTAATACGCTTGTGTTTTTGGGTAATCCATCCTTGCCCACATATAAATAAATGGAATGATGTTATTGCCAGTTCATGATTCATATCCTGGGTTTTTTTTTTTTTAAGCTCATAGTTTTAACTCTTCTAATAACCAGGTTTGAGTTTCTTATTTCTTAAAGGTTTTACCAAGAAGAGATATACTTGGCTGTAGCTTTCCAGTCACTCAAGTCTATTTTAATGGCCAGAGAAGAATGTTTTTACCTTGTAGGGGCCATAATTAATTCACTTATTATTCTTTCTCAACTGCTTGATGGTGAGGCTTCCCTGGGTCGCCTGCGAGTAAATTACAAACATAAAATATAGAATGGTATGCAGTGATAAAAACAGTACATGATAAAACAGCCAGAATAAAAAAAGAAAGAAACAAAAGTAGAAATCAAAATCCAATGAAGTCTAAGAGCCCTAAACTGGCAACTAAATAAGAATATATAAGGTGGAAAAATCAGTCATGTTGAGAGCCATGTGGCCCGAGTGGTTAAGGCAGCAGGCTAGACAGCTGGAGATCCTGAATTCAAATTCTGCCTTAGCCATGAAGGCCAGCTAGATGACTCTGGGCCAGTTCCTCTCTCTCTCAGACCAACCCTC